AATGAGGTCATCAACTCTTAAGCAATTTTATTCATGGAAGGTAGGAATTCAATTCCTTGTATTTCAGAGTTATGTATGCTTTCCTTTTTCCTTGTAGTGCAAGAAAGAATATTACTTACGATTATGCTTCTTCATCTGTTGAACGAAATATGTATGTCATTCATGCTATAGAAACACTTCTGTGTCTGACGGCTGCCGATTTTCTTAGGACTGTAGCCAAGGAGTTATCTTTCTGATTTCATGGCTCAAAACTAGGAGTGAAAGTAGGTAAAGAGGGTGTTTTGTTGCCTCTGCAATCCTAAGAAGTTAGGACCTTTTTTTGCTTTGTTTTCTGTATTGTCAGTTAAAGAAGTCAAGGACATAGTTATGGACCGTGAATCTGATCAAACTTCCCCTGAACTTTCAGCTGCAGTTGGTTGACTTCATGGGGGAAATGAAAAAGGATTGCTGAGCAAGTATAGGAATTTGCTTGAGGAAAAAGTGAATACATTTACTAACTACTCTTTTGGCTTAAAGAGGATGATGACGGAAGAGAAATTGTTGTTTCACACAAGGGCTGGGCACTTCATGTGTTCCCCGCCCAAGCAATGTTGTTAACAACTTGTCGATAACTGTTGAGTTACCAGCACTATTTTTATGTGATGTTACTAAGAGCTTTGCAATATTTTGCTTTTTTTCTTTTTGGGGGGAGGGGACTAGAATTTCCTGCATTTGCATTATATGTGTAAAAACCAAAGTCCATCTAAAGAGTTATGATGGGGAAAATTCAAAAATTTTAGCTGGCTGCATCCCAAAGACAAATTAAAACACGCTCAAAATACTGACGAATATGAAATTGCTTCGGTTTTAGCCTCAGATTATTGTATGCCTCTGGATGTATTATGTGTTTCAGTAGTTTAAAAATATATCTGTGGAGGAAAGTAGGAAAGCAATTAACATTCAAAGGCAGACTGGATTTCTAGAGTGATGTATTAATACATCCCTCTTTGCACTACATGATGTGCACGTATCTGGCTCCTCTTGTCTGCCTGTCAGGTTAAGGCAGTATGACCCCTTTACCTTCAGGCCCCCACTTTTACCCTTGAACCCAAGCTTCTCATCTTTCAAGGTATTGTTAAGACTATTTTGAGATGCTTTCTTTGGGCAAGGAGCCAGAGCAATTAGACGCAGGCCAGAACATCCTATATAGTGAAGGTTGAATGCTCCTAGGGAATATAATTTACCTGAAGACACCTTAGTTCTTGTGTGTTTATCATATTCTCTGATAGTGGTGGGTAATATAAAGGGGAATGCTGGTGTTTTATCAGCTCTCGAGGCTTTAAGTCAAAGGGATTTAATTTTCTTGTAATGTTCTGCGTTTTTTCACACAAAAATGAAAACATCTCTGCCTAACACAAGCAGAGAGCTGCGAAGGCATTGAGCATGTTCGCCATTTGCCATCTAAACCTTGTATCACCAAACCTGAGTGACTTCCTGGCAAAATTCCTGAGCTTTGCAAAATCTAGCCTTGAATTGAGACGTGATAGTTTTATCGGATGAGATGGGCAACATGACCGTTCGTATGTCAGTCTAAATGCTCACCCCTAGCTTGTAGCCAACACAATTAGCATCAACTCTGAAGGGGCAATTAATTAAGCCAGAACAGGGAACACAATTTGTCACCTGTCTGTCAGAGTTCAGCAGCAGGCAATCACAGCTGTTCACTCCAAGCAGCTGCCTTGCTCCCCTGGCAGATGCTGCCGTGCTTGAGGTACCCACATTGGATTCCTCCCCAAACCATGCGAGAGTTGTGTGGAGTGCTTGGGATGAGGCAGGACCTCTGAGCTTTCAGGCTAGCGTATTGAGGTAGATAGAAACTGTTTTATGTATTACAAGATGCTGAACTGTTTCTGCTTTGCAAATGGCACTTCTTCTCCAAGAGCTGGTTCTCACAATTCGTCCAGCCGCACAGGTTATGGTTGTCATTGACACATAGCTCTGCTCGACCCTGTAGCCAAACCAGGTGTTTTAAACCAGCTAGGCTGGCTGAAATATATCCTAGGGCCCTTTCATCTGAAGAACCAGAGCAAACTCTTTTTCCAGCCAAATAATTCTTTTTAATGTGGGTAAATAACCTTGTAAACTGAATGTGTTCAAAGCACAACATCATGTGTTTCTTATCTATCTCCAAATCAGTATCCAGGACTTCAACAAAGGCAAAGGACTATGGGGCACTGAGTAAGACCTTCTCTTTGCTGCTTTTAGAAATAAACAGATTTTTACCTTAGGATTGCTCAGAAGGTGAGGAAACAAAAAAAGGAAAGGTGAGGGGAATCAAAGAGAAGATACTTACTAAACATCTGTCAGCCTCAGTTGAGCTTTGCTGGTGAATATGAAATGAAGAAGCAAAAAATCCAACTTGTTTTTAAGTGTGTTTCGTCATATAGTATTTTCATGAATATTAGTTACTTGTAGAAACATTCTAGGTGGGGTTCAGATCCTTTTAATAGCAAAGATACTATCTGAGATTAGTGTACCAAATACATACTTTAGAGCTGACTAGAAAATAAGATTTCTGTTCCCTAAGACATTATAGAATTTGAAATTTTCATTATTTGACATTAGGACATTAGTTGAATTTCTGAATAGCTTTAATTTGGGATTAGATTTGTTTTGTTTTAGAAAGACAAAAGCAGATTTTTAAATATATATGTATCTTTAGTAGATGTAGCATTAGTATTTAAAGACATTGTAATGAAATGTTTTCACATAAGTCAAACTGTATGATTTTCATTTGCTTCTTTCAAAACCAATTAAAATCAGTAACTCCTGAAAGTATTTAATCTTTCACATGATTTTCTTTTTTAGAAAAGTGTTCCATCTGAATTCAGGTATGTTTTAAATCAGTTTCATTGATAAATATAGAACAAACACAGATGCTTTATTCTTTGTAGTAATACTCTTTAAAAGGGCCATTTTTCGAAATGCTTTCAAGAGAACCCTTTTTTACATTTAACATCATCACCAGTCTTATATTACAATAATGATACGAAATAGTGCTACAACAGCATTTCGAGTTTCACTTCACTGGCAGAGGACCTTCTTTTTCCAAAGACAACCATGAAGTGGAGTCAAGAACTGGATGGTGTGTGCCGAGTGGAGAGTTCGTCTTTGTGGGGAAGTTATGACAGGAGGACAAGTCAAGATGCTAATGTCCTGCACACTGACTTTCTGGATGACCATCTTTGTAGCAGGGATGTGAGGGAAGTAAAAAGAATCCAAATTTGTCCTGCCAGGCAAGTGGAGTATCTGTCATCTATTTCCTCTGGTTTTCATGATGTGAGAGAGATATGCTGAGATTTGGACCTTGTGTGTGAACCTCTGCATAGGAGTAAACTTAGTGAATTTTCCCATTAAGAGATTCTGATTAAATGTAAAATGATTATTTTAAGGCTCACCTGTGCAGTGAGATCATGGCATAACCAGGGAGGATGTGAATTAATGACACATCAACTGTATTAGAGGGCTGCACCTCTCCTATAAAGATAGACTGAGAGAGTTGGCACTGTTCAGTCTGGAGAAAAGAAGGCTCCAAGGAGACCTTGTTATGCCTTTCCAGTATCTCAAGGGGGCTACAAGAAAGTTGGTGAGGGGCTTTTCAGGATGTCAGGTAGTGACAGGACTAGAGGGAATGGAATAAAGCTAGAGATGGATCGGTTCAGATTGGACGTTAGGAAGAAGTTCTTCCCCATGAGGGTGGTTAGACACTGGCACAGGTTGCCCAGAGAGGGGGTGGAAGCCCCATCCCTGGAAGTTTTTAAGGCCAGGCTGGATGGGGCTCTGAGCAGCCTGATCTAGTGGGGGATGTCCCTGCCCATGGCAGGGGGGTTGGAACTAGATGGTCCCTTCCAGCCCTGACAATTCTGTGATTCCATGATTCTATGGTTCTATTATATAAATTCCCTGCATGACCATTCTTTGGGTGTCCCTGTTTAGGGTTGTCTTCAGAAGTGGACTGTGCTACTGTGCGCTTCGGGAACTAGAGATTCCACTCACCAAGTTAGCACACTGCTGTGCATTTGCTGCGGGCAATCCCTGAGAAATCTGTTCAGACTTGGCTTAAGGCACTTCTTTCTGGTGGTGTTACCTGTCTTGTGTATGGCTGTCTAAATGAGATGTTCCTGTAGTTGCCCAGAGGATTTAAGAGGAACTGAGTTTGCCAAAGGGAATACCTTTTTTTTTCCTTCATTTTTTTTTCCTCTCTTTACTTTCTGCAACTAAGTGAAGGTTTAATTTTTTGTTGTTCTTGTTTTTTTAGTAAAGCTTGCTGATGGTAAAGAGTCATGTTTTTAAAAGTATAAATATTGTGCTCTTTCTTTTTCCCCCTCTTCGAACAAAGAATGAATGTACTCATACCCTAAATGAGTGAAAGACCTTCAGTCTAGGAACCTGATGATATAATCTATAGCCTATCTAATAATTTAATCACGGGCACATTTTCAATGTGGGACCACACATTTCTTTTCCAAGAAATCCCCGGGTAACTTCACAGGAGAAGGAAATGTAATAGCGCTGCCCTTTTGTGGGAGCTGTGATGATGCACATGGCCACAAGGAGCTAACGCCTGGCTGGCCGAGTTAATTATGCACTGGCTTGCTGCACACAGGTCATGTTTGCCTAGCTTGTGAAAGGCAGCCTTGGCTGAGCTCGCTGCGACGCCGTGCGCAAAGATTAGCAGCGCCGAGCGCGGATCGGTGAGCTTGAGGGATGCCAATTGGTGGGAAAGCGTTCAAACTGGCGGGAGGAGCAGGTAGCTGAGTGCAGCGAAGCAGTGTACACAAGGATCAGCAGGTTACATCTGGGGTTTTGTGACGAATGCCTAATGAGCTCGCTGATGAGGCAGGCAGGGCTCTTCAAGCTGTTGTAAATGTAGCTGAAAGAAGTGTGGCTGATAAGGCGCCGAAAAACCACTCTTGTAAAGCTCTCCTTTGGCGTTGCGGTATTTAAAGCCCAGAAAGACAATGGAGAGAAAGCTGGACAATAAAATGAAAAGGGAACTGTCCTGCTTAGCTACTTTAAACAACAAAAACATAACCCTGGTGTCTATTCATAAGCAGCAGGCAGCTCATGATGTGCCTGAACTACTGATTATTGGTGAAAAGTCCAAGATGGGATCTCCGGTAAAAACAAGCAGTAACTTGCAGAAAGAAGAGAAGCTTTTGCAGAGTTACTCCATGGGAATGAAAGAAGTCAATACAGTTGAAAGACAGGTTAGTGAGCTGGTATGTGTGTGTTGGGAGGTGTTCCTGAACTGGAGAATTTAAAACAAAGCATATTTGACATGTTGTATATTAAAAAAGGTTAAGTCCTCTTCATCTAAATTTTATCAGTCCCCGGCATGGATCACTGCCCCAGAATGAGCAGTACCCAAATGCAAAGTCCACTGGAGCTCCTCTGAAAGTAATCTTTGAAAGCTAATGTTAATGATGTGTTACGCTGTAGTAACTAATGAGCATTTTCTCAGCTCCACCTCTAATAACATAGAGTGGTGTTTCTTAGTAAGGAAACATATTAATATTTCTCCTTTTGAACTGCAACTACTTGAGCAGTGTGACTGCAGATCATACCAAGTTATTCTCTGGAATAATAGAAACTGCAGAAACATTAAAAGGTCCTAATTGTAGGTAAGTAGTTTATTTATAGCTACTAAGTGCATGGTAGTGAAAGTTGTTGATAATACATCTGTGACAACATTATTTCATTTTATTGTTTTACTCAGTGCTGTGTATAGCTATGGTGGTTTTGGAGATTAACCATTGTGGAGAAGTGGCTTAGAAAGATCAATGCTGCTATAAGCATGATGAGGTCTTTTATTTTAAAAAGAGTTTTTGCTGTTTAAAAGTTATGTAAAATGCAGTAATGTAGTTTAGATCAGTGAATCTTGTGAATATTCAGGAAAAAGAAATTCTCAAAGCAAATTTTGGGTCCTTTGAAACTGTGTATACTTAGAATGACTTAAATAATTAGTGTCAGACTGGAATTAAATAACAGCCAGGACAGACCAAATATACCTGAAGGCTTTCTCTGCCTTGAGTTACTTCTTACATTATAAATGTTTGCCAGGGAACAATCATGACATAAATAACTTTGTTCTACCAAAGAATCTTTTTTATATTGTTCAGTTCACTGGGATATGCACATTGTTTAACAACAAGGCTTTCCCGTTTCCCAGTAAACCAAGTGTGGTTTACGTAGCTCCATTTAATATAAAAGTACCTGTTAAGGTCTCTAAGGTTTGTTAACTATGGTGTATATAGGTATCTTTTCAGTAAGAGTGGCTGCAACTGCCTAAATCTTTCCCCATCATCTGTACTGCTGGAGAAACCCATTCCTGGATGGGGAACAGCAGTCCCTTGGCAGAAGCATTAGGGCAATTAACTTAGTATTTTGAAAATGAAAGCACCATAAGGGCAGATTTAAAGTAATATTTTCTCTGACTCTTGACATCCGGGTGGACAGAGTTGCTTTTCCCTTGCTTAAGACTCAGGAACTGTTTGGAAAATGACAAGTTGTGTTACGAGTAGTTGCTGAAAAAAGTAGCTGCTTAAATTCCTTAATCTTTACTAAGCTTAGGGGAAGAGGGAAGGAAGAACAACCAGCTAAGATCTAATACACTTAAATAATATGCACTAACAAGATGGAGGGAGAAGTTGCACTGAAATTTGTTAAGGAGGATGAGGGTTCAGTTTTGTGCCTATAACCAGCAGCACTTTTGAGTGAGCAGAAATTCAAGAGTTGGGACCTTTGATGTTCCTGAGGCTGCTCTGTCCTCATTTGGTTATTCACTGGCTGTCTCTAACAAACTGGGAAAGCATCTGAAGCATTTAATTATTAGTATGTGGCTTTTTCAGTAGTGTGTTACTGCCTGCCTGAATCCAAAGCCATGAATCAGCGGGTTGTGAAAGAGAGAGGCAGGAAAGGTAAAGGAGCAACACAGATATGATAATTCTTCTGCAGCTGAGGGCTCAAAGGAGAGAGGGCAATAGCTAGCATCAGCCCGTGAAGGTACAGAGAGAAGAGCAGCCCAAAACCTCCGGAGATACTGGATGAGAAGTTTAGTGAGATCCAGCATTCACGGATGAGCAGATGTGGAAGGTGATGAATGGGCTGGGCCCCATCTCCTCACTGGCTGCCTGCCTGGCATCGTGGTGAGGAGTCTGGTGCTTGAATTTCAGGAATGAATTGCAGGCTTGGCAAAGGAGGGTGGGAAAGCAGTGCCCGGCTGAGGAAGACAGCCTTGTTGGAGCACCAGAGAGGAGCAGCAGCCGTGTGGGTGATGCCTGGGGAGCTGTGGGATGCATGCTGGTGCCTCATGCTCATGCTGCAGAGGTAAAGAACGTTACACTGGTGTTTTGGAGATGGCTGCATCTCTCATGAAGGGGAGGTGAAGGATGACAAGCCACTCCATGAGGTGACCGTGGAGCACAGGGGTTGGAGGCAGCATGGAGACCCACTGGGGGGTGGCTGATGGCTGGGGCAGGAGGCCAAGGAGGGCACAAACCTTGTTGAGTTCACAGCCATGGGGTTGCATCCATTGTCAGGATACCGGTCGCCATGTGCACATATGTGAGAGTCTCGCTCAGTACTGCCATTTCTTCATCTTTGTTTGTTGGGTTTTTTCTCAGTTTAGTTGTTTTTCTCACATTTATCCTCTCTTTACTACTGTTGTTAAACTCTCAGCCTTTGCACTTCTGAATGAGAGTACCCAAAAGAAAGTGCTCATTTTGGGGAGAGTGACGCTAGGCCTCTGAGGGCAGCCCTTGACTGGGTCATGTTGCCCCACCAGCTGCGCAGGCCATGGACAGTGTCCACCTTTCCTGACAGAGCTCTGGTGCTGTAACGTCAAGAGCTGCATGCCGAGCCGGGGCTAGAGAATTGGTGCTCCCAAACCAGCAGTGTCTCCCTGCCCTCTGCCATCTCCACACTTTCCTAACAAGTTAGTCCAGCCCTAGGGCATGTTCCTGTTGGATGATGTCCTCCTGCTGGCCAGAGGCAGTCAGCATGGGGAGGGGGAGCCTCTGCCTCTTCCTGCTGCCCCCAAGACCTGCTTTGCCCCAGGGCAGGCATGAGTGCTCCAGCCTCTGCCTGGGACATCAGGGGTTGCTCTTCACACCAGTGGGTTTCCTCTGAAATCCTTGTACTGGGAGCTGGGCTTCAGACGCCACACTCATGCACATCAGCAGTTTCAGTTGCTACTCATCTTGGGTATGGTTCAGAGCTGTCTTCTTTAGATGCAAATGTTTACCATCCTGCTCTGGTGTTTCCTTTGAAGCTCTCTGCAGCTACTCCTGCTTCTGTGTCAGTGGGTTTCTTTTTCTATATTGTTTAAATGAGCTTTGTAACACTGCTTTCTGTGAGGATTCTTAACTTCCATACTAGAGTGTTGATTTGCATTTTAAGTGGCAACTTTTATGTGCAGGATGAGGAAAGAATTGTTTTCATTATTTATATATAGTGTATATATATTTATATATAGTAGAGTCACCATTGCTGGACGTGTTTAAAAAACGGCTGGATGTGGCACTTCAGGAGATGGTTTAGTGTTAGGGTGGTGTAGGGCTGTAGGTTGAGCTTTATGATCTTAAGGTCCTTTCCAACCTTGATGTTTCTATGATTCTATATTTATTTTTTTTACATAGTCACTGTAAAAATGTGTGGAAGATATAGAGTAAACAGACTTGGTGTACACCTGCCCTTAAAAGTAAGCAAGTCTTTTTGGTGTGAGAGACAAAATATTCAGTTCTTTCGCACTCCTTTGTGAATGTAGGGTCAGATGCATTTTCATTATTTTATTGGGATTTCTCTCCAGGCAGAAACAAGCAGGAGGCGAGATGCCTGGGGATCCCGGGCACCTTTTTGGGGTGTTTTGGTGGTGAATGCTTCTCTGATATTCTTGCAGGGGGTGTCTCAAAATAACTATATAAACTCATAAATGCCATTTTACGTGTGGGTGTTATCTGGTATCAGGAAATCCTCTTCTGAGACCCAGAGTGTGCCTGAGGAAAGCTCGAGGCACATTTCTGCAAGTCTCATTTTGGTGTCCTTACATGAACCTGATGTTTTCCTCTGATCTAGTGTTGAAACATCCCTTCTTGCAAATACACACATAGATGTATTTGTCTCCCTTTTTTTTTTTTTTTGAAGTTGTTAAACAGTGCTAAAGGCTTTGTAAATACTGTGCACATTTCTGGGTTTGTGGGGGGAAATTCTTCAATGATTTGGCATGCATTTTGTGGGGGGTTTTGTGCGGGTTTTTTTAGTGAAATGAACTTTTTTTAATATTTTTATATCCATGTACTCTCTCCAGATTTTCCCTTGTAGTTTAAAAATTTGGGTACAAGGATTTTTCTCCTACAGAGCATAAACATCTGGTTTCATAAAGTGACAAACAAAATTTTTTTGCCAATTCTTCTGAATGTTGGGATAGCTTTTTATCCAAAATAGAAAGCAGTGGTGAAGTTTTGATGCTTCTGTGGCTTGCAGTGCATTGAAATAGTAGAATCAGCCCTTGCTTTTATGTTTTTCAGAAGACTGGAGGATGACAAATACACTTTAATCTCTTTATACATTTAATTTGAATTGCTTTTATGTCGCTGGGCACCTAGGAAAACTGAGACGGTTGGTGAGCGTGGGGGTGGAGGTAACACGGAGAAGGACATAAGGCTTGCGATGGTTCCTGGGTTTCGTCTGCAAGTGGCTGTCAGAAACGCAGTGAAGGCGAGCAGGGGAGCAGGGGATATTTGTCTCACCCATCTCTCATGCTCTGTTTCGCCAAAGGATGCAGAAGGCAAATGTCTTTGTCGTATGAGCCACAGTAAAATACACAGGGTGAGCTCCTGTAACTTACACGTGAGTTTTCACACTACCAGGAGTTTGCAGTAAGAAGAGCTGGCCACCACGAGCAAAATGTCCTTGGGGTGCCTGGGGACAGGAGATAGGGAAGAGGAGATGAGGGACAATACTCCAACAACATTTCTCAAGGTGAACTTTACAATAAATGCAAGTTTGAATTTAAGCGGCATTTGAAATATGCCAGATGAGAGACTGTTTTCATATTCAGATGGGTTTCTTTTCCATATATAAGGCAATATTATTATTTTAAACTGCGCAAATAGAAGGAAATAAGCATGTGATTGTCTCTGTGTGCACTTAAGCAGGGAACCACCTTTGCAGGGATTAACTGTTTATGCTTTCTTTCGAAAGGAGGTGCTGGCTGCACGTTTTCATGTGTGTTGAGGATTTCAGTAGCTGCTGGGAAGGGAAGTGCAAGGAGGGGGATACGTGCCCCAGGTGCTGCCAGGCTTGTGGGAGGGAAAGGTAAAAGGGGATGTCAGGGCTAAAATATTCCTGTGACTCTTCTTCCCCAGCATCCCCAGAGCACAGCCTTGAGACCAGGCAGAGAAGGAGTAGACACATGGGGAGAGTTCATGGTCAGGATAGTGAGGGGCTGCACTGTAAGGCTGAAAGCAAATTTCTTGTGCTAAATTTTCGCCGGTTTGGTCATGACCTCAGACCTCATTATTCCCAAGCTGTCTAAGCGTGAAACAAAATCAAGTTAATGAATTTTGAATACTGCATCAAATGAAGTGGATGCAGTCTAGTGCTAATAAGCAGCCTAAATGCTTCTCAGCCACACATGGTACCAAGGAGTGAGTTTTCTTGGTGGTGGTAGGAACAAGATTTGCAGCACTAAGCCTGATCCAGTGACCCCTTCTCCATCTCCTCCCCACAGTAATGCCCAGTATCAGGTGATTTATTGGATGCTGGAGAGCCCATGGCTTTGCAGGCGATGGATTTGTGGTAGTAGCTTGCATCTAGATCTTTGGTAGATGACTTCTGGTAATTCTCACAATCTAGGACTTGTCCTTCCCCTTCTCAATCTCCCTCATGACTTGATGCCAGAAATTTCCTTTAGCAACAGACTCTGTGCTCCAATTAGCTGTTTTGTGAGAAGCATTGCTTTTATTTATTTTTTAAAAATATTTTGTTTTTAATTGAATTGACTGCATTAAACTGCAGAACCCCAGTGCTGCAGAGCCTGTAACATGACTGAGAGATAGTCCACTTCTTGCCAATCTACTTCAATACTGACTATTGCATCCTGAAAGTTGTCTTTGAATCAAACCAGTGAATTCCTGTAGCTCAGTATATGGTCTTTCTTAGGTGCCTCACAAGGAGACAGGCAAAGCTAAACCACAGTGGAAATATCTGCACATAGTTCTATGTCTTTTAAAATCTTTTTTAGACAGAGGTTTTAACTTAAAAGATCTGTATATATGCAGACAGCCGAGACCTTTATGAGCATGCATATATTTCTTCAGATATCATGTAACTCGTCCTTGCTGTGTCAGCTTTTTTCGTGCTCCTGGGAAATTCCTGATTCCATTTTTTATGGGCTTTTGGCTTGGTTTGAACTTCTGCTGAGCAATAGTAAGTTGCCCAAACTGAGACAGCTTCTGACATTTTTGGAGAGGCATTCAGCACACTCTGCTGTGACCCCTTGTGCCTGTGCCAGTGTGCTCTGAAGAGCAGTGCTGGGGCTGTGTGGTGTAAATGCTGCATGTCTGCAGAGAGCTCAAATTTGAAATGATTGAACTGGGTTGGGAATATTGAGGCAATTTTGCTTTTATATCCCTAGTAAGTATTTTTTTTAATTACTGCTCAAGAGAAGTGTCAAAAGCCTGATTCATCATCATGGGAATAGCTCACTGGTAATATATTCAAAGTATAAGTTAGCATTGTGAAGTGTTTCAACGGTATAGACTGATTTAAGAGCAGTTCTCATGCCTGAAAACACATGCAGAGTATTGCTGCCTTTACAGGGCTAAAGATATATGCATTTTATTTTATTTTTTTTTCCTCTTGCTCCTTAGGCTTTGTCTAACACTGATTCTCCACCTGACTGCAAGCTGGAGCCTACAATGAAACACAGTTTTGCTTTTGACAACCTGGGCTATGAAGAGAGCTTTGAAGCTGTGCCCTCTCCATCTTCCCAGGAACACACTGTGGCAGTTAATGTCATGGGAATGACTTGCCAGTCATGTGTGCAGTCGATAGAAGGCCGAATTTCTAAGGTGAACGGCATCGTGAGTATTAAAGTCTCCCTTGAACAGAACAATGCTGTAATAAAGTACCTGCAGTCTGAAATAAGTCCTGAACAGATTTGCCAGGAAATTCAGGATATGGGCTTTGATGCCAACATAGCAGAAGAGAGGTTGACAACAGCGACCGTAAATCTGTCGTGCTTGAGAGAAGCAGTAGTTAAGCTTCGTGTGGAAGGCATGACGTGCCAATCCTGTGCCATCAACATTGAAGGAAAGATTAGGAAACTGCATGGTGTGGCAAAAATCAAGGTGTCGCTTGGTAACCAGGAAGCAATTATTGCGTATTATCCTTACCTCATTCAGCCTGACGACCTCAAGAGCCATATCAGTAACCTGGGCTATGGCTGCACCATTAAAAGTAAATCAGCCCCATTGAAGTTGGGTGTCCTCGACGTCGAGCGCTTGCAAAATGCAAACCCCAAGGAGACACCAGCGAGTCTCGAGGGTGATGGCGTAGATCTGCTGGTCGCCAAGATGAGTAACACAGCTGCGGTGGCTGTACGGATAGAAGGCATGCACTGCAAGTCCTGTGTCAAAAACATTGAAGGAAATATATCAGATCTTCCTGGCATACAAAGTATTAGAGTGTCTTTGGAGCATAAGCGTGCTGTGGTACAGTATAGCCCAGATTTAATTACCCTGTCAGCTTTGCAGCAAGCTATTGAATCCCTTCCACCTGGAAACTTTAAAGTATGCCTCCCTAATGGTTCAGAAGCAAATAGAGGAGCATCTCCATCACCTGCTTTGCTGTGCGATCCCGTCAGAGAGCCGCTGCAGGACACATGCACAGCTGTTATTAGGATTGATGGCATGACCTGCAATTCTTGTGTACAGTCCGTCGAAGGGACCATATTGCAGAGACAAGGAGTGCAACACGTAGCAGTTTCTTTAGCTAGTGGAACTGGAACCATATGTTATGATCCAGCTGTTACTAATGGAGAAGAGTTAAGAGCTGCTATAGAAGACATGGGGTTTGATGCTTCTGTGCTGACAGGTAACAGTGTTTTTCTTCTGTAGTATGCCAAGCTGGGCCAGGAGACATCTGCATGAAGACTCTCTTCTGGAGGGAAACTCTTAAAACATCACGTTGGCATTGTCTTTTCTAAGGGGCTGGCCAGATCCCGCTTAGCAAGGCAGAGAGATTCCAGCTGTGAAGCACCTTATTTCAGCTCTTAAAACCTGCACTAGTGGGTGGAAGAGTTGAGTTACATTATAAGGCCAAAAGGCTTAGAAGTTGATACAAGATCTTTCGAATAGTCAGTCCCCTTACTCACTGAAGCAGGTTTCCTCCTATGCCTACAGGCTGCTGTAAGTAGATCTATCAAACCAAATATTTTCATTCACTGTTCAAAACACTAAACCGCAAAAACTTAGTGAAATCTCTTTCATTTAAATCCCCTTTTTAACTGGTTAAAAACTTTTTTTTAAATGTACTAATCCTTTGACCTTTATTTCTTGAATATTTTTACTAGCCCTAGTTCTGGGGGGCTGGTTAGCTCAGTCAGTTGAGCATGGTGCTGATAACACCAAGGTCGCGGGTTTGATTCCCATTTTGTTCCCATGTGTTGCCTGATGTAGTCGAGAGGTGGCGTCCCTGCCCATGACGGGGAGGTTGGATTAAATGATCTCTAAGGTCCTTTCCAGCCTAGGCCGTTCTATGATTCTATGATTCTATTAAGCCTCACTTTAAACGAGGTAAGTGGCAAGATGCAAATATTCTTTGGTGGGAGCAGGTGCAGCACAGTTTGTATGTTTTGTACATGTACTTAATGTTTAAGAAGTTGCTATGGTGCACAGTCTTCTCTCTACCAAATTTCAAATGCAGCAATACTTATCTGCTTTAACTTAATAGATTTGCTTTGAGATACTGGTATATTTCACCTGGAATGAACTAGTTTGATTTCAATAGACTACATTTTATTAACTTTTCTCATGGGTCTAATCTCTCTGAATCTGTGGAACTGCTACAGATGAGGAGAAGCCTTTATGTGGTGTTTAATTATGATTTATTTGGTTTATAATTTGTTGGTGGGAGATGTCCCGTCCATCTGTGGAAAAGCAGGGGAGCCCTTGTGTTTAACATGTTCAGAAGCAAGTCTTGCTCTTTTACACAAAGCTCTGCCCAAGAAAGGGAGTTTATGAGTGCAGCTGGAGCTGTTGGATGTCTGTTCAGTGTCTGGTAAAGAATAAAAATGATTGCAACACATCTGTATGTGGAAGCCTTCTGGGCACTGCAAATCCTTCCAGTACTTGCTTTGCAGTACCTACACCATAAATATCGTGTTGTGAAGAGAAACCTGTTGAGGAACTTGGTTTTTTCCTTGTTTGAGACAAAGTGCCATTTCCTGCATAGATGACAGGGACAGAATGGATATGCGCTGGACTGTGTTCTCTGTCCTGGATGAGGACCCTCTAGATAGCAATATATCTTTATTTAATGGAGGTAGCTGTCAGGTCTAGGCGTTGAAGTTGGAGGGGATCATTTACCATCTGAAAGTGGAAAACCAGTTCTGTAGAGTTAAATGGATATGCAAGTGGTACTGGTGAATGTATATTGTTATACGCATACTAACAATCTGTATTATTTGCATTAAGTGACCAAGATTACCTTATCACCTTTCAAACAACTAAGAGGCTTTGAATGATTGATAAATGTGACCTGCTTGTAGTTTTACCTCATCCAGTCGCACTGTAAGTAGTGTTTTTTCAGTTTATTGTGTGTTTATTCAAGATGCCGCCGCTGCTGGAGGATGTAGGTACCAGCCTGATGCCAGCGACGTTGCCGTGCAGCCTCGAGCTCCAGAGCCTCCTCGCCAAGGCTGTGCCTTGGATCCTCATCCAGACAGTCCTCGCCTTGACAGGCCAAACCAGCCCAGCGGAGAGCCAGCTGAAAAGTGTTTCTTACAAATCACAGGCATGACCTGTGCCTCATGTGTGTCTACCATTGAGAGAAATTTGCAGAAAGAAGACGGTAATAAATTTAAGATTCCTCTAACAAGTTTATGAGGGACCATGGGGTGGAAAAGGTATTCTATACAGTTAACAGAAGAGGCTGCGGTACAAAATCTGGAGATTAGACTATGCTCTTTCTTAGTACTAATGTAACTACATCCCTGTTTAACTATCCTACCGCACTGCTAGGCAAACCCAATGTAACAGGATGTTGTCATAATGGGATCACAATTTCAAGTAAGGCTCAAGGCAAGAAGAACAGAGAAATGGTTCTCATTTAGTTTTCAGGGCCTTATTGCTTTACAGAGCAATCCATCTCTTCCAAAGCTGTTGAGAGCTCTGACACGTTTGTGATGTGAAGCTTGTCCTTCGGGGCACATTTGCACAAGCAGGTACAAAAAAATGCGTGGCCCCAGTGCCTGGGTAACTACATCAGCTTGGGCACAGCAAAGCTTATTGGCTTCCAAGTCTGCGAACTGGAGCTGCCTTTCCTCTGGCTGTGTAGAAGATGAACAGATGAGCCTCAGCAATGTCTGATTTAATTTGTGTAGGCATGCCTTTGGACGGGTTTGCTTATTGATTTCTGCACCTCCAGTCCCCCAGTGATGGTCTCGGTGCCTTGATTTAAAAATCCAATAAACCATTAGCACTTTAGAACAGTTTTTTTGCCTGTACTTTTGTATTTTGCTTTTCAATTCTAAGTGTAGATTTCTCTGGGTTTATTTATTTTTAAAAAGAAGAAAAAATGAAAACAAAGGAGGAAATGAGAAATAGGAAAAGGCCTAGCATTGTGCTGTGAGGTTTGTTTAGGGCTTTCCAAATTTAGAGTTTGCAACAATGAGTGAAAATATTGTTTCTGGACATTGCTTTTGTTTCATTAGATCATAGCAAAACTCATCTCCTTCACTGTGTAACTCTTGCAGTTCTGCTCATTGCTAAAGGGAGATTCCGTGTGGCTGGATCTCAGTAAAATCTTGGCTGTTGTGACTGGGGAACAACACTAGAAGGAGGCAGAGAGAAATCATTTGACTTATAACCTCTCTAATTTGTTACAGTATTCATTGACAATCACTTGCAATATTTCAGTTTTCTTCCCCTCACTGGAGCTACACTATCTAATGCTTTTTATTATTGACACCTCAGGAATTGTTTCAGTGTTGGTAGCACTGATGGCGGGTAAAGCCGAGATAAAATACAAGCCAGAATTCATACAGCCTCTTGAAATTGCACAGCTGATCCAGAATTTGGGTTTTGAAGCTACGGTCATAGAAGATCATGCAGAAACAGAAGGAAATGTGGAGCTTCTTGTAAGTCATATGTATTTGAAATTACATGTTGCTTTTGGAAAAGTGAGGTCTGGAAGAACCATTTTCTTGCAAATCCTTTTGTTTAAGGAGTTGTGACTTCAGCAGGTCAGTTCTGGCTGGAGACATTTTTTTCCTTAATTAAGACAATATCACCTTGTCTTAGAAGGACATGTCCAAAGGCACTGAAATCAAAAGTGATAGTTGTATGTACAGAATAGATTTTTCTTAGCAAGGAGAAATGAAACAGAACTTTCCTGTGAAGGCACTTCAGCTAACAGTACAGACTCCAACCAAATACGTATTGATAATGCCTAGGGCTTTGTATAGAGGTCTGAGAACATTGAGTAAAATTAGTGAATTATTCATATGAAGGGCAAATTCTTCAAAACTCTGTTTTTATTCTCTGATATATGCCTAATGCAAGATAGATAATAACAGTCTGCAGTTGTGCTAATAGAGCAGAAAATGGGAACATGCCTTACTGAAGCCACAGGAGAATTTAACTAAGCGAGAAGTTACATGTGCAGAGTTTTACTTTAGCAGTGTTAATATAGCTGCCGATAGAACTATATTAGCTATACTACTGCAGTTAATAAAATGTGTAAGTGTTGCTATACAATTATATAACACAGAATCACACAGAATCACAGAATGTCGGGGGTTGGAAGGAATCTTGAAAGATCATCTAGTCCAGCCCCCCTGCTAGAGCAGGATCACCTACAATAGGTCACACAGGAACATGTCCAGACAGTTTTTGAATGTCTCCAGAAAAGGAGACTCCAC